TATATTATTAATATTATTATTATAATTTTTTAATCTAATATAACAATACAAATAATGGTATGAATATTGAAAACGTATAGGGCAAATTTTGAAAGTTTTGTAGAAGTAGACGGAAAAGAAATGAAAATTTAAATTAAAAATATTCACTCATAATGATTGATACAGTGATTGACGTTACTCCACTTTCGTGTATTTAGAGCTTTTATCGTGCATTTAGAATTACCCATGCAAAACATATGTAGTATATTATTGCACTTGTTATTTGTTTTATTTTTTCTTTTACAGGTAAAAATCATAAAATCCACTACGGGAATATACCAATGAAAATAAAAGTATCAGCCGATCATGACCGTTCATAGAAAGTCATCATATATTGCGGCTAGGATCTGGTAGGATGTACGATGGTTCCACCTTAGCAATTAGTCCTCACCACAGCTCCGTGAACACTCGCTGCACAGAATCTCCACCCAGCCTTCTCCAACATCCCCCACCTACGATTCTAACTACTTAAACCCTTTCTTCCTGCCCTTCAAACACAGCTCTCTTATTTCTCTTTGTTGTTCTTCTCAGAAGATCGGCAGCTACTTTGAATATAGGTACGTATATACGTATACGCTTTCTGTATCTATTGCCACAATTTCTGTCTCATTACTTTGTGAATCACAGATCTAGAAGTTATCGCATCAACTTTTCGATTTAATGCGTAGTAATTTTACGAAATTTGATTTTCCCCTGTCTATGTAGCTTCAAGAACGTGTTTTTTTCTTTTTAACCCTTAATTTAAGACGACAATCCATCGTAATTGGAACAAATATGGTGATTTGCAATGTAATCAGCCATCTAATGATCGAGTGATAAGATTAATTGGGGCTTACTTTTACCTCTGTATTTAAAGGAAGAACATTTGATGAACTAAAACTATGAATTGGATGTATCAGATAATCAGATTGTAAATCTGCAACAGCTTAATTAAAGTGTTGTACTACTATTACATATTCGATTCACAGTTTTTGGTTTCAGGGTATCAAATGGCAGCTACATCAGCAAATTCCCTTTCTATCAGATCAAAAACACGTTCACTTTCACAATCAAACCCTTATGGAATCAACTTCAATTCACAAAACCATCTACACTACAACTTCAAATCATCCTTCTTAGGCAACAAAATCACCACAACTGTTCAACAAACTTTCACCCAAACACAATCAAAAACCCTTAAAGTCAACGCATCATTCAAAGTCGCCATTCTTGGAGCTGCAGGTGGCATAGGTCAACCATTATCACTTCTAATAAAAATGTCCCCTTTAGTTTCAGACCTCCATTTATACGACATAGCAAATGTCAAAGGAGTAGCAGCCGATCTCAGCCATTGCAACACTCCCTCTAAAGTTCTAGATTTCACTGGAAATAACGAATTATCAAACTGTTTAAAAGATATAGACATTGTCGTCATTCCAGCTGGCATCCCAAGAAAACCAGGTATGACACGTGATGACCTTTTCAACATCAACGCGAACATAGTAAAAACTTTAGTCGAAGCTGTAGCGGATAATTCCCCAAATGCTTTCATCCACATCATAAGCAACCCAGTCAACTCAACAGTCCCAATTGCAGCAGAAATTTTGAAACAGAAAGGCGTGTATAATCCCAAGAAGCTTTTCGGTGTCACAACTCTCGATGTTGTAAGAGCCAATACTTTTGTAGCTCAAAAAAAGAACCTAAAATTAATTGACGTTGATGTCCCTGTGATCGGAGGTCATGCTGGAATTACGATTTTACCCCTGTTGTCGAAAATGAAACCGAATGTTTCGTTTACTGATAATGAAATTGAGGAGTTGAGTGTTAGGATACAGAATGGTGGGACGGAGGTGGTGGAGGCTAAGGCTGGGGCAGGGTCAGCGACACTGTCTATGGCTTATGCGGCTGCCCGATTTCTGGAGTCGTGTCTTCGGGCACTTGATGGAGATAGTGATGTTTATGAGTGTGCGTTTGTTGAGTCGGAAATTACGGAATTGCCCTTTTTTGCATCGAGGGTTAAGATTGGGAGAGAAGGGGTTGAGGGTGTGGTGTCGAGTGATCTTGAAGGGTTGAGTGAATATGAAAAGAAAGGTTTGGAAGCTCTTAAGGGTGAATTGAAAGGAAGCATAGAGAAGGGGGTTGCATTTGCTAATAAGGAAAAGTGAGGGGTTGAAAATTGAAATGAAATTTAGGATAGATTAGGTGCTATAATAATAACTATTAAAGTAATAATAAAGTTGCTGTAAAAAAGAAAGCATCTTCGGTTTTGTCGACTTTTTTTTTGAGGAGTGGGATATTCAATTATTCATATTCCATTGGTATTGTTGTTGTACAATTTTGTTGAGAGAGCAATGGGGAATAGAAATATATAATAACTTTGCTACATCATAAAAGAATAAAATGTTGGTTTCGTGTTACTTGGAATGTTTGGGATTTGGTGGATTTTAGTATTCTATTCTTAAACTCAAGTGAGTCAATTCCTAACTTCTATCGGTGAAATGTTTGGTTCACCAATTTTGATGGAGTTGGATTGAATAGGAATTCAATGGTTGAGATTTAATCCTAAAAATGTAATAAAATAAAATAAATAAATAATAAAAAAGCAGTCACATTTTTGTTATTCTAAGTAACCTTTTGTTCATTTTCCACCATGGACAAAACTATTTAAGGGTATGATAGTCCAATCATGTTATGAATACTGTATTCATTTTCTGTTTTAAGTTCGGTATCTTTGTCTCTTATTTTTGTCATTTATATTTGGTCACTTAAGTTTTTTTTTATATGGTCTTACCATTTAACATGTTTATGTTGTTCAAAGTATAACATTATGAGCTCAATACCCAAAACAAAAATAATGTTTCAAAAGAAATATGTACAAGAGCTTTGGAACAAATGGGAAAATCTTGAATCATACACATCTCCTAGGCATGTTTATGTAAACTTTCACTTGAGAGTGATGTCTTGCATAGATGGTAACTTACAAAATAAAACAAGTTAGTCTTATTGTTGTTATGTAATCAGAATTAGATGATTTTAGTTGGTTCTAATTAACAATTATCCAACAATCATCCTTTTAATGATGCAATCGCAAGGTGTTTTTAATGCCAAAAGTGCATCGAGAATGTGAACAAATGAAAAACATTGATTTATCTCTTCAGTTTTATCGAATCGAAAAGGAAAACTAGATACCCCTTTGAATGGAGAAGCCACGAGAATTAGAGGAGTCTGATTTAAAGTTTAGTTTGAAAATAAAGACTTGGAAAATAATTGTTGACAATAGGCTAAAAGTGATTGTTAACGGGTGTGTTCACGCTAGCCTAGTATTTTTCTCTAACTTTATCACCAATACATAACAAAGAAAATGTGCATAAATTATTAAAGTCAAATTCGATAGTCTTATACATTATAATAAACAACTATTTAATATGTTTTGTTGTAGTTTTCTATAATAGACTTTGTTTCTAACTCTATAAAAAAATCAATATTGAATTAATTTGTTTTATTATTTAAAATAAAAATTATAAGAAATATAATTCAACAGACATGTAAGGCTAATTTATAAACCTTTAAAAGACTTATAGATAATGACTGATTTATAAAATACGAAAGTTTGAATGTTAATAATATGATATAACATTACTTTCAAGAGTCGACGGTGTTCTAAGTTTTAGAAAACGGCAAAGAACATGTTCAGTTATATGAATAATTTTACACTTTACAAAGCTACGTAATTAGTTACCCGATGGTAGTTACAGTGCACTAGAGAGATTGAAGCAATGGTTGTTGAACCGTAGAAATTTATAGATATGGATGGTTTAATTTTGATCTCACACTAGACAAATTTGCTTCTGGCTGCCAAAGGATGTTAGATTTCTTTTAGGGACTTGGCGGAGGTATTAAATTTATAATGTATGGTATTACTTATATATTATCGAAATTGTTAGATTGTTTTTGTTGTTCCTATGAAACCAAGCTGGTGTTGGTTGGGAACATCAAGATTATTGAGAAAGAGCAACATTGGTTTTACGATGCATATGGGAAAAGTCATATTAGCGTGTACTTGGATGTAGTTGATAGTTTCAGTGTTGATGAGAGCAAGTATTGAGAGTGTCCAAAGTGCAACACGTCTGGATTTGGTTATGAGTACATGTTACACTTCTCTTCTATATTGTTAAATATATCTGATTTTGTAATGAATAAACTAACGTAAAGTTGGTGTTGATTGCTTTAGATATAAGATTCAGGTACGATTTAAAGACAATTCTGATGCTATGTTTGAGGTGCTCTTTGATCGAGATGCAATACGTTTGTTAGGGAAAATTGCAAATGACGTGGTGAAGGGGTGTCGGAAGATGGGGATGAAGATACATTTCCTGATGAGTGAATGTGATTGTGAATCAACGGTATGCATTACGTATTAAAGTGATTGATTTTAACTTGCATAACAACTACCATATCTACACGATGTCAAAAATCAACAATGATGCCCCGTTGCTGGCCATATTGCCAGAGAATGTGGAAGAATATGAGATTGTAGAGGTAAAAAAGACGATGTTAGACGTAATATTCTCCTTTAGTATATTGTTTTATATATTCTCTATGGTCTTTATGTTTATAAGCCCACTTATGTATACCTAGCCCAATTATGTACATGTATTGAGTATATATACGATTTAATGAAAGGCATTGACTTTTATGGGAAAACATAATTTGTAATATGGTATCAGGCCTTTCTATGTGCCAACCCTAGCCGATCCCTTATCACAGAGTATCTTCTTCTTCTGCTTCCCTGCGTCTTCTGCTCCTCTGTGCTTCTCCATTCCATGCCTCCTAAAAAAGACTCTTCTATCCCCACGTCTTGTCCCACCGACAAGATATACGGAATTACCAACATCAAATCTTATGTGCCTCTCATTCTAGACATCGATCGACTCAACTATGACGCTTGGAAGGAACTTTTTCAGACTCACTGTCGTGGCTATGAGGTGTTCGATCACCTTGAACCTCCTGACCCTATATCGGACGACCCATCATGGCCTCAAGTAGATAATGTAGTTAAACAATGGTTGTATGCCACTCTATCCCAGCCTGTTCTTCAATCGATCATCAAACCAGGTTGTACTGCTGTCGACATATGGGGTGCCCTACAGGATCTCTTTCACGAAAATAAGGAATCTCAAGCAATTGAATTGGAGGATGAACTTCGAAATATCACTCTTGGAAACTCCACCATTCTTGAATACTGTACCAAGATCAAGGCCATTGCCAATCTCCTTTCTAATATCGGATCTCCTGTGCCCCCGAGATCTCTCGTCATGTATGCTCTCAATGGCCTGCCTTCTACTTATGCTCACATCATCCCTATGATCCGGTACTCCAAACCTTTTCCCTCGTTTTTGGAGATGCGTTCTAGGCTATCTTTTGAGGAACGCTCCATGTTAAAAGAACAAAAATGTGGTCTTCAAACATCTAACTGTGATACTTCCTCTTCCCCTACCGTTCTTGCTACCGAGCACCAATCCCGATCCACAAACTCCTCCAATAACATATCTCGTAGCAGCAATGGCTCCCGCGGCGGTGGCAGCGGTGGAAGAGGAGGTCGCAATGGTAGAGGGGGTCGTGGTCGCTCATCTAGTCCTAAAGGCGGCACTGGTAATTTTTTCGGGGGCTGGGGATCATCGATTCCTTGGCATGTCTACTACCCACTTCAACGTGGCCTGCTTCCGACTCCACCATCTTCGGCCCACTAGCCAGCAGCCCAATGGACTAATCAATCCAGCTCTCATGCGCCTTCCACTCAACTTCCTTGGAATCAGCCTTCTCAGGCCCAGCAGCAAGCTCTATTCTGTAATGGACAACCCACTACCAATTTTTCTGGCTGGCCCAATTCTCCCTATGCTTCGTCGGATCAAGCTACCCTTTTACCACATGCTTTCTCCACTATGAATCTTCATGATTCGGGAACTGCAGACTGGTACATGGATATTGGTGCCACCGCTCACCTTAACGCTGACCCAGGTATTCTCAAGTCCTTTAGCAATAAATGTAATAATTCTAATTTCTCAGTTTTAGTCGGTAATGGATCTCGCATTCCCATCACAGAAACGGGTAACACAACTCTTGGTTATAATCCGTTTCGAACGCTTCATTTAAAAAATGTTCTTATTACCCCCCAAATTATCAAAAATCTTGTTTCTGTGCGTAAGTTCACCCGTGATAATAAATGTTCTATTGAGTTTGATGAAGTTGGTTTTTCTGTGAAGGACTTTTTAACGAAACAAATTCTTCTTCGATGCGATAGCACCGATGATCTCTATCCCGTTACAAGTCCAACTCCTCAAGCTTTTGTTAGTGTCAAGTCTTCCACGTGGCATCAACGTCTCGGTCATCCCGGCCAACAAGTGTTCAAGCATTTATCACCAAATAAAGTCATTTCTTGTAATAAAAAAGATTCTTATTTACTTTGTCATGCTTGTCAACTTGGCAAGCATGTCCGTTTGTCTTTTGCTTTGTCTAAAACTAAAGCTTTATTTCCCT